AAAATCTTTCCGAAAGAAAACAGTTTTGGTGATCGCAAAATGCCTATTTCTCACATCAAGACAGGAATTTAAAACCAGCGAAAAATCCTGATGGATCGACGGAGAGCAACAATAACCGAACGCAGAGTCTCGGTTCTGAGTAGAACAACAACCGAAAGCAGAGGTTCGGTCCTAAGCAGAACAACAACCAAAAGCAGATGTTCGGCTCAGAGCACAACAACAACCGAACGTATAGATTCAGTTCAGAGAATGATTTCAACCGAAAGCACAGGTTCGGTCTGGGAATTAAAAGAGGTCAAAACTCTAAAGTTGGTCCTTCCGTTAATCAAAAGCAACAGAGTCACCCAGAATCTTCAATCAAGAAGTCATACCGTTCTAAGTCATCTCATCCTAACACTTCTAATTCCTCACAATCCTCTGTCTCTTCTCGTCCTCAAGTCCACTTTTCTCAAAAATCTCAGTCTTCAGCTGATCAAAAATGGAAATAGAAGGTTTCAAATGCTGAATCAAAATCAATACTGAAACCATCAAATCCAAATGAAATCAAAGTTTACACCATCAAAAGAAAAGATAATACAACACTAATTAAAAGAACATTTGTTGTTGACATCTCTCTTACTATTCCCGCAAACAACTCACGAGGACCCAAAGAGCTCTGGGTTCCTAAATCTGCTTAATTTTTGCAGGTTATTAGTGACGAGCAGTATGACGAAGAATGGTACATTGATAGTGGCTGCTCGCGTCACATGACAGGGAAGAAGGAAGAACTTAGGGAATTCAGATCTCTTTCCAATGGTGGTAATGTCAAATTTGGGAACAATTCCTTCGGAACAATCAAAGGCTATGGGATGATTACAAACGGTGAATTCTCAATTAGGAAAGTCGCATATGTAGAGGGATTACAACACAATCTCATCAGTGTATCTCAGCTTGTTGGAGGTACTGGTCTCAAAGTCTCATTCGATGATGAAGGTTCAGAAATTATTGAGAAGAAGACGAACAAGGTTATTCTCCAATCAGAGCGCAAAGGTGAAATGTTTCCTCTAAATCTCAAACCAATCAAAGGAAACCCAACCATCTGTCTGTTATCCAAGGCACCATCTGATGAAAGCTGGCTGTGGCACAGAAGACTCTCTCATCTCAACTTCAATGATATCAACAAACTTGTCACTAGAAGTCATGTGAGGGGTCTCCTGTTGCTCAAATTTGACAAAGATCATCTATGTGTTGCATGTGAAATGGGAAAGCAGAGTCTTCAAAGTCACCCATCCATAATAAACACTAAAGTCGTTGAACCACTGGAATTACTTCATATTGACTTATGTGGTCCATCTTCTGTAGAAAGCATTGGTGGTAGCAAGTATATTCTTGTTATTGTTGATGACTTTTCACGTTTTACATGGGTGTTCTTTCTGAAGCTTAAATCTGAAGCAACTCACAAGCTAAAAGTGTTCATCAAGCAAATTGAAGTACAGCTGAAGAAGGTCATTCGCAACATCAGAAGTGACAATGGGTTGGAGTTCAAAAATAAAGAATTTGAAGAATTCCTGGAAGAAAAAGGGATGAGTCACAACTTCTCCACTCCTTATACACCTCAACAGAACGGAATTGTTGAAAGACGAAACCGATCCTTATGTGAAGCTGCCCGGACAATGCTAAGTTTCGCTTCCTTACCTTTATATTTTTGGGCTGATGCTATTTCTGCTGCTTGTTTTACACAGAACATGTCGTATCTTAACAAACGCTTTACTCTCACTCCTTATGAGATCATTAATAACAGGAAGCGAAATGTGAAGTTTTCCCATGTGTTCGGTTCCAGATGCTTCATTTTCAATTCCAAAGAACACCGAAACAAGTTTGATGTCAAAGCTGACGAAGGGATATTTCTGGGTTATTCTCTTTCTTCCAAAGCATACAGAGTGTTAAATAAGCGCTCAAAGAAGATCGAAGAAACTTACTACGTGACTTTTGATGATAGCTATGTTAAGAAGCTACAGGCCAACGAAGAAATAGCTGGAGAAATCTTTCCTCAAACTGGCCAAGTCACAGCCTCGGTCGCCAATCCATTCGAGAAATTCATGGAGCTTTTTGATGAACCAGAGAAGGCCACTCTTTCTGAAGCCAGTGCAGTAGACAACAGGGTAGATAACTTGAAGCAACTTATTGACGATGCTGCAAGAAGACTGAATGAAGAAGAATCGAGTTCACAAGACCCTCCTCAACACAATGCATCAGTAGAGGAGGAAGATCCACCTGAATTCTAGTCAAGTTCACAAGTTGAGGGGGAGCCAAGGTCTCAACCTCCAACAGAGAGTGCTTCTCCAACAGAGAGTGCTTCTCCAACCAAGAGTGTCTCACCAACCGAGAGTGTCTCACCAACCGAAAGTGTCTCACCAAACGACAGAGTCTCTCCAACCGTAGGTTCATCCACACCCGAAAGATCATCACCTCAATCAACCCCTATAGCTAAAGATTCACAAGCCATTCCTGCAAGATCACATGTCGAGGGGGAGCATGCTGATATGTCATTCGACTTCGACAGTCTGTCCGAACCAGAAGAAATGATAAATGCTGAATTGGATCCATCCTTTGATCCAAACTTCCCTCCTCTCACCAAATGGACCAGAAATCATCCTATTTCTCAAGTTGTCGGTGATATCTCAGAAACAGTTTTGACCCGATCACAACTTAAGGCAAAACAAGCATCCTTGTACTCAAAAGTCGAATTCTGCATGTTTAACTCATTCGTTTCTAAAGTTGAACCAAAGACAGTTAAAACTGCTCTTGATCACTCTGATTGGGTTCAGCAATGCAAGATGAACAAAATGAATTTGAAAGGAACAAGGTCTGGCGTCTTATTCCAACTCCTCCTCATGCCTCGGTTGTTGGTCTCAAATGGGTCTTTAGGAACAAACTCGACAAGGAAGGGAATGTTATCAGAAACAAAGCTCGTCTGGTCGTTAAATGATACTGTCAAGAGGAAGGCATTGACTATGAAGAGACTTTCGCTCCAGTAGCTAGGCTGGAATCAGTAAGAATATTTCTTGATTATGATGCTCACAAAAACTTTGAGGTCTTTCAAATGGACGTCAAGTGTGCCTTTCTCAATGGAGATCTCGAAGAAACTGTGTATGTGGAGCAACCTCCTGGATTTGTGAATGAAAAGCATCCTGATCACTGTTACATTTTGGATAAAGTTGTGTATGGTCTGAAACAAGCACCGAGGGATTGGTATGAAACGCTGACTAAATTTTTAAAGATGTCCAAATTCAAACAAGGTTCGGTTGACCCAACCTTCTTTCGCAAAAAGGAAGGTAACCACCTTATGATAGTTCAAATTTACGTCGATGATATCATCTTCGGCTCGACGAATCCAAGCCTAACAGCTGAATTCAGAAAGCTGATGGAGACTAAATTTGAAATGAGCTCAATGGGTCCTATTAACTTTTTCCTTGGTTTAAATATCAGACAGGGACCCGAAGGCATCTTTATCAACCAGGAAGCTTACACCAAGAATCTCTTAGCAAAATTTGGCATGATGGGAGATTCAAAAATCAAAGTCCCAATGGCATTTGGCACTAAGCTCACTCCATCCCTAGACAAACCAGCTGTTAATCTTACACTTTATCGTCAAATGATAGGCTCTCTAATGTATCTTACTGCTAGCAGACCTGACATAATGTTTTCCGTTTGTTACTGTGCTCGATTTCAGGCAAATCCAAGGGAACCTCATATGCTTGCAGTGAAAAACATATTCTGATATCTCAAGCGAACTACCTCTTTAGGTCTGTGGTACCCTTCTAATTCAGGCTTCTTCGTTCAAGCCTACTCAGATGCAGACCTTGGTGGTTGTGGTCTCGACAGGAAAAGCACCACTGGCGTTGCCAATTCTCGATGGGAAGTTAGTTAGCTGGCAGTCAAAGAAACAAACCTGCGTGTCACTGTCTACTGCTGAAGCGAATACATTGCCGCTGCTTCCTGTACCTCTCAAGTGATTTGGATCCAGAGTCAACTTCGAGACTATGGACTCAATATGAAAAAGATCCCACTATATTGTGACTCTGAAAGTGCAATTAGGATCTGTCATAACCCAGTGCAGCATTCCAAGACCAAGCACATCGCACTGAGGTATCACTTCATCAAAGATCACGTGGAAGACGGAAACGTTGAAGTACACTTTGTTAGAACCACTGATCAATTGGCCGATGTCTTTATCAAAGCTCTTCCTGAAACGACTTTCAATAAAATTCTACAAGGCTTCGGTATGATGGTTGGAGAGTCGGTCCCAAATCCCCAAATCTCCATCTAAGAATCAAGAACCGAAAGAGACAAACCGCTCGGTTGCTCTCTGCTCTGGTGATTTAAAGGAACCGAAGCAAACAGACCGCTCGGTTGCTCTCTGCTCTGGTGATTTAAAGGAACCGAAGCAAACAGACGGCTCGGTTGCTCTCTGCTCTGGTGATTTAAAGGAACTGAAGCAAACAGACCGCTCGGTTGCTCTCTGCTCTGGTGATTTAAAGAAACCGAAGCAACCAGACCGCTCGGTCTCTCTCTGTCCTGGAAATTTAAAGGAACCACCACAAACATACCGCTCGGTTTCTCTCTGCTCTAATGAATTACTGAACCGAACTTGACAGACCGCTCGGTTCCTCTTGGTTCTGAAATTGTCACCGAAATACACAGATCGCTCGGTCTATCTCTGCTTCCTCTTTTTTTTTTGTTTTTTTTTTATGTTGTACAATTTTATCTTTATGTTTTATTTATTTTCA